TATCGAACGAAAAAATAAATGAAATTCGAAATAGTTGGGAGTTGAGACTCTATTTATATTCATGCTCTTGTTTAGGAACTTGAGGTAGACCATTATTTTTCTAGTATAGCAACTGCTTCGGGGTACACAGATATCATTTTCATAGCTTACAGATGTCGATGTAATCAAAAGTTGGGTGCCAGCTGTGCCAAACGCAATCGATGTTTTCCATATGAAACCTGGCTCTTCATGGTTTATCCTTGCACCTGGAAAAGGATTTTAGATTGCTACATTGCTCAATAAGTGAACTGAATAATTTTATTTGAACTGAAAACTATACTAAGTGTAAAAAAACTGGAACAACGAAAATATTTCAAGGAACTGCATGATAAAAGCTGAGATCTTGTTTATCTCAACTGGTAAGAGTTTGAACTTTTGAGGGTTGTCATTCTTAGGGGGACGATACTCGGTTAACAGAAAAGCATATTCAAACAGATTTTTTAACAGAAAATACTTTCAAGGTGGTAAATCATTTCAATTATTTTTCCTTCAGAGAAAACTTTTCTGTCATTAAGCTACATAACATAAAGTACCTTGTGGTGCAGCCTCTTCACTTTGAGGATAACTATCAGTATCAAGACGTACTGACGTACTGTAAATAATTATTCCGTACTTCACTTATTTTATGTTCTATAGTCTAAGTACCTTCATGAAAAATAAGTAAAAAAAATTATGTTAAAGGGTTTAATTCAGAAAAATTTATAATAATGATGTAGATATACTAAAAACTTTAAAATAATCCGGAAGATCCCATGTGGCAGTCATTACATCACTGTCCTCAGCAATTTACGGTATTGATCAAATAAAATAATAATAAAATAGTTGTGCCTAGTATTTACATATTTAATCAGGTTACGCTACGCCCAACAATTTTATTATTTTTTATCTGGTCAATACCGTACATTGCTGAGGAGAGTGGTGCATTGATTGCTATTTAGGACCTGCTGAATTATTTTTTAACTTTCAGTACATTATCTACATTATTATCTTTATTTTTTAAATAAAACCGTTTAACATATTTTTTTTACTCATTTTAGTTTTCAGTTTCTAATTTTGTAACTCAATTCTTCTCATCCTTTTCAGTTCATTTCGTGCCTCAGTAGGTATTACAAGATTTATTTAGCTTGCTCAATATGTCATTTATATTTCATTAAAATGCCCTCGTTTTCGCAAAATGATGAAAATTAAGAAATGAGTTCATGTAAACTTTCTTCATACGGCAAAAGAGACCACGTAATGAAATCAAAGTCATCATTTACGATACGCCTTGTATAAATAAAAGTTCTGGTACTTCTTATGTGACACTCGGTATATTTGAGTGAAGACTACATTGAATACTGGATGGGTTTTTGAATCTCAAGTATTTAAAAAAATGCGAGGTAATACCTGGTACTCAAGACTTGAATAAATTCAAAAATATGATACTATATAGCCAAATACTTAAGAAAAATAAAGAGAACCTTCTTGGTACTTGGGACTTAAATAATTTTACAATAATATAGTACTAGTACTACATACTCAAGTACTTATGTTCTATACTAAGAACAGCTCTATTTTTTTAGATTTATAGTGGTATCGACTTTTTTATTTGAATATAAACGAAGACGATATACGTTATTCCTTAGTTTTTGCAGCGACATCTTGCGGCACTGCCTGCCCTGCAACGGAGGGTGTTAGAGTACCCCTGCTGGAGGTGAGGGTCTTCCAAAATGACGCCTCATTCCAAAGTTGGTGTATCCATGCTGAACACATTCCTCAACCTCAATCATGACTGATTCAAAGAATTGAAATAATTCCAAAACTCTTGATCGTCGTGGTCACATAAAAAATATTATTTTTTGTCAGATGATAATTATTTTCCGAAACTCTGGTACACATTAGCTTCGCCAGACTTCTATCAATCATCAGTAGGTATATTGATTTTTGTCTGGTAGGGGCTATGCATAAAATTTTTGTTTAAATACAGTCAACCCTAGTAGCATCAAACTTTTTCCTTTTCCTACTCAGGCTATGGATTATTATCGACAATAATAGGAAAATTCAAATAAAACATATACTCATAATTATCTATGCTTTCTTTACAGAAATCCTTTCATAAGTGTTCAAATTACATGTCTGTACGTATTCCCCATTCATCCTAGTCAAATAAAATAACATACCTATAAGAGTTGTCAGAAGGTTTCTCAAAATCCACAAACGGGGTGTGAACGATAACATAAGATATAACTGTAATTCGATTCGATTGACCCAAAACAAACCTTGAGAGGAATATCTCAGAAGTGTTTAATCAGAATATACTTGAAGAAAGGAATAATAATAATAGTCGTTACAGACGATAGAAATATTCAATATCTTTTTTTTAATTGAAACAAAAACTATGACAATCAATAATGAAAACTTTCCAGAATTACAAGAGAAGCTCCAATCTCAAAACTAATCTCTCCCCAAGGACGGATCCAGAGAGGGGGCGGAGGGGGCGATCGCCCCCCCGAGACATCGCTCGTTCACCACCCAACGACCCAGGTATATACCTAAAGTGGGTCGGAAAGACCCACACCCTAAATCGGTACGACCAGTCAGCCTTACATCCTTCCTGTTGAACGGACTTGAGGACTTGAGAGGATACTGGACAGACACATATGTAGCCCCCCTGAATACCCACCACTATGCATATCAAACCGGCAAATCGACAGATTTACCATTAAACAACTTTGTAGAGAAAATGTCTCAATCCCCTGACAACAAGGAGATGCGTTTGCTGTATTTCTCGATATTGAAGGAGCATTTGACAATGCACTACCTAAAACTATAGGATCAGCCCTGGCTGGAAAAGGCATCAAATCGACCATAACTGGATGGATCTATATGCCATGCATGCTGGCAAACAGAACTGCAACCACGACTCTTCAAGACGAGACCATAAGGTTCAGGGTCCCCAGGGGCTGCCCTCGAGGTAGGGTACTATATCCCCTTCTGTGGTCGCTTCTGATGGATAATCTGCTTGATGCCCTCATTAGAAGATAAGTAGATCTACAAGCTCATGCAGCATAAAGTTGAACTCAGACTTCCACAACTACTCCACCCGAAATAATAGATTGATGAGGCCAAACAGGTTCAGACTGAAAATATCTTCCTCCAACTTTCCCAACATGTATCTTTTTGAGAAAAAATTAAAATAATATTGACTGATAATTGAATAATATTCTATTTAATAGAGGAATATATGAACTCCACAATTCACTAGGCCATTGCTCTAATAATATAAAATTGCAATGCCCATGTGTACTGTTACTGTCTATATTGTGATATCTCTTAAATTTGACCTGCTACTCGTGTAATTTATTCATTATGTAGTCAATAAAGTTTACTTTACTTTTCTTTACTTTATCTTACTCTACTCTACTCTACTCTGCTTCACTTTACTTTACCTTACTTTACATGCAGATCACCTTGTCATCTTGGCAAGGTCCACGTTGGAAAGAGTAGCGTGTAATATCCTCCAAAGTACAATTGACGTGGTTCACAATTGGTGCCAGAGGGAGCAGATGTCTGTCAACCCCACCAAAACTGTGATAATCCCCTTCACCAGGGCGAGGAGGCATTTTCCTTGATAAAAAACTCATTTGGAAAAAGTTTTACACTAATACAGACTGTCCCTATGGACATATCGAAGGATTTGTGGTTAAACTTAGGGTTTAGGTCCCAAACAGATCCATTGGATATATGTCATGATTGTCAGGCCAATGATCACTTATGGAGCAATTGTCTGGTGGCCGAAAGCTTTACAGAAAATAGCTCAGGCGAAACTCTTTGGCGTACAGAGACAGGCTTGTCTGGCTATCTGTGGTACAATCAATACCACACCTTTAACGGCCATGGAGATCCTGGGCTAAATGGACTGCATATAGATTTGTGCACATCGCGTATAGAGACAGGCTTGTCTGGCCATCAGTGGTGCAATCAGTATCACACCGTCAGCGACCATAGATATCCTTCCAGATACCTCCTCTCCACATTTTTCTATGGCTAGATGGACTGCATATAGACTTGTGGCTTGTGCCCATCGCCAATTGCACAAAGCAATCTAATGCAGAGTACACCAGACTGCGGGCTGACACTGGAAGTCACAGCATTCTGCGAATGACCTCTGATATTATGCCTCCAACTGTCAACTACGAACTACCTCATGCAATACTTTTCCCGTGTAGAGAGGATAGGATCCTTCGGCAAAAGGAAATATTAAGGGCATATAGTTGTTGGTTCACAGATGGATCAAAAACACCTTCAGGCTCTGGTGCAGGTGTTTTCACTTGCAGACCCAGCACAGAGATATCAACCTGCCTAAGGACCTATGCGACTGTATTTCCAACGAAAATCTATGCTACTGAATTGTGTGCGGACCAAACCATAACAAATGATCTCTTGAGTTCAAGAACTCCTCGTTATATATACGATTGGGAATTAGGAGGGTAATCGTGCAGAAACAATGTCTATCGGAGATGTTAGAACTAAGTCAGATGGTAAAACAAAAGTCAGCTGTTTTGATATATTTTTGGTGATTTCTTTTGGTTCCTGTGGGTTGAAGTAATTCAATTCACCTACTCATTAGTTTCTTTCTTCTACAATAATCGCACCAAAAACATCAATCTCACAAATATACAATTAAACAAGTCGAAACAAAACAAAAACACCAAAACAATAACTCATGTTCAACATTTAGTTATTCTGATCAGTTGTTCATCATATTCAAGTAACTATCCAATAAAACTCTCAGAAAGTGTTTCTTGAATAAATGAATAAGTTAAAAATTTTTCATCAAGTATCTACCAATTCCATCACACAGCTGTGTCTATCGTTTAAGCAGCGCCATCATTGGAAGAAATTCTTCCCAATATAAGGTTAGGATTTGTAATTCTGTTTTGTGGATGTTTGATGTTCTATGCACAGAACTATAGCACAACTCTAAGTTATTGTTCTGCGGTTTAATGTCATGAGATCTTGGGTTAGGGGTTATATATTATTTGTATTTTTTATTTTTACCATGCTCGTATTCCATACAATAGCAGAAGAAAAGATATAAAGTGCCTATTTCAGTGTAATAGGAACTTTTAATAATTAGAATTGTAATTAATTATATAAGTATTTCCATTAATTTCTTATCGTTTCATTTTAGGTTAAAAAATAAAACCATGTCAACTTTAAGCAGGTGCAGAAGCCTTTTCAGTAATACATTTTATAGTTCCATAGTTAATTTTGGGAGTAACCATGCCAAGATACATATATTAAGTTGCAGCAAAGTGTTACGTTCATCAACCATTCGCACTAATAGTGCCCTCACAACAAGGAGGAGTTTTTCCAAGACTTTCTCAGAACTATTCAGGAGACTGAAGAAACCGGAACTCCAAACCATGGACAATGTGCCTCCTGAATATTGTTTAATTTATCGAAATACAACGTACAGATACATTCTTGTTGCACAGATAATCACAGCATTTTCAGCAGCTGTTGTTGTATTATGCACTGTAATCCTTCCTGATATTCAAAAGTTTGAATCGAAAACTTCTCCCCAGCAACCTGGAGGAGGGACACAGACACAACGATATATTTATTTAGCTGCATTTAGTTTTTTGCTAGTCGTCTTACAAATGTTGGTATATAAATTACCAATCAGAATATACTATTTGTCTCCTCTAAAAAAATATGTTTATGTATTTTATGGCAATTATCCCTTTACATATAGGAAATTAACCTGTTCTGTAGGAGATGTAATGAAATTACCAGAGGCAGCAAGTGTTTTGCCATGGAAAGAAGTGAGATACATGATCAAAAATAAACAGGAAGTGTATCTTATGGAAAATTATTTCCGGAGACCCGGTGATTTATATATCATGTTAGGTATTCAGCGAGATCCAGAAGATGATGATGATGATGATAATATGTAAATGGAATAGTAGAAAGCCAAAACCTTTCCCAAAAATGTAAATAAAAAGTTAGCAAATATGTTTGTTTTAATTCAACTGACACAGTAAGTCAAAAAGCTATAATAGTAGTTCCTTTTGCTATGTTTTATAGTTTTGTCCTTGGAATATACTTTATTGTCAAAAAAGGTATTTTATCGACTTAGTAAAAACTTATGGAATTAGAGGTAAATTACAGGTATATGTCATTCATATATATAGATATGTATAATATCGAGTGTCTTGTTGGGTTTTTGGCCCAGCATGGTGCAGACAAGAGTGCAAGGATAGAAAACACTTGCCAAAAGTACAAATGCAGGGGCCATCAGCAGAAGCCAGCTGCATATTTGTGGTTTCAATTAATAGATGTGTTTACAAGAATACTAAAATTATCACTGAAGCAGTTTTAGCTACCTGCATGATATTTGTGCATTTATATCATTGACAGCCCAGTATTGCCCATCCTTGCATTAGACTGCACCCTACTGATGATGGACCAAAAGCCCGAAACACGAGTGAGTATTATGTCCAATGAAATTATTTCTTGGATTTAAGTTTCCTATTTTCGTAAATTACAATCTCAAAATAATGCAGGGAAACTTTCGACACTGTTTCATATATTTGTTATAATCTTATATAAGCCAATTTGCAATGCGACGTTTCGTTCATTAGATTTCATCACTATCTTTTTTTTTAAATACGAACCTCTACCTTTTTTCATTGATTTTTGTAGTCAATGTAATAAATTCAGTTATAATTTACATGTGTTTCGATCCTGATGTTCTTCACAAAAGATAAGGTATTCGGCACAACTTTTGGCAATATTGACGAATTGAAAGAAATGATAAAGACGACACCTGTGCAACGTTTTCCATTCGTAGCAAGTACCGTCCTATGTAAGAAAAGCTGAAATAAATTTCATTTGGTCGAGATGACAACCGAAAGACCGACTTTGGAGTACTAGCTCCTCGTCAGTAACGGGAGGGTCATTTCAGACCGAGTGTTGAATGTCTGAATATCCCAAACAAATACTGACCAATCGTCTTCGTTTCATTCAGGTGGGAGCCCAGCTCCCTTACCCTTTTAGATGATTTTTGTTGAAGGACAAATGGGTTCATGACTGAAACAAACCTGCACGTCATCTTGATTTCAAACAGGTTGGAGCCTGGCTCCCTTACCCTTTGGACTGATGTTTGCCAAAAGGACAAACGGGTCATAACTGATGGTGAGTGTTGATGGTATGGCGGCATGAATGTCCTCAGACATCAGAGCCGCCCTTCACGGTGTACCCCTACTTGGCTGGGGTGGGTTGGATGAAAAAATTGTTCATTTTTTAACGGAGAACATAGGGGCCTCATTCGACAGAGTGTCGGGGCCTTCTATATCGGGAGGGGTCGTCTACAGTATAATCCATAGCTTCCCTGACTGAAACAAACAAAATTAATTCCAATTAGTCATAAGCTCTATCTGCAGTTGATTCAGTAGGATGTGCCACCTGCAAACAAAGTCCGAAAACCACTCCGGGGTGGGAGTCATGCATCAGAAAGGTGCATATGATATGGTCAAGTTCAGGTGAAAACACCTCACCCTTGTTCGAGATATTCAGGCGGTTACTCCGTCTGAAATTACCCTTCCGGTACTGACATGGAGCTAGTACTCCGGAACCGGTCTATCTGTGGTCATCCCGACCAAATGAAATTAACTTGAGCTTTTCATATTCAGGAAGTCACTTGCGACAAATCTTCCAAGTGGAAGACATTTCACAGATACCTGATGGTTTTAATTCAGCTTTCTGCGCGGCATTAGCTGGGTTAGTTGTTATTTCGTCGGGTATCTGCCAAATATGGACCTACAAAGTCGTAGGTTCACATGAGAGACAAGGGTGAGGTTGTTTCACCTGAGCTTGAGCATATCTTACGCACCAAATTGAACGAAAGCGCTGCCGCAACAGACCGAAAAATTGACCAGCCATTTGACAATGATAGTGTTAATGAACGCACTGCTGGACGTTGGTTTGCGAAACTTCGTTCCGGATATTTTAGCCCCGAAGTGGTCGGCCTACAGTAATCCAGGAGGAGGATTTAAGGACCTTTGTGATGACTGGCCCATCTCAAACTGTGCGTGGGATAGCGTAACAACTGGGCGTTAGCTCCCATGCAGTTTTTATAGGTTTCAAACGTATTGGAAAGTTCATGAAGCTCGAAAAGTAGGTGCCTCACGATTTGAAGACTCGACAGAAATTGTCACGTTTTGAGGTCTGTTTTTCTTCAATTTTGCTTAACCACTATGATAACAAGAGACTTTCAGGATCAATGTCACTCAGGCACTTCCAAAGGCGAAAACCCACCAAAAAAAGACCATGGTTACTATACGGTGATCAGCGGCTGGTGTGATTCACTATAACTTTCTGCAACCAGGCCAAACCAATTCAGCAGAGTCCTATATTGTGAAGAAATCGACGAAATATATGCCGAAAACTGCATCTCGCCAATCGATTACCATCTTTTCGAGCACTTCGATAACTTTCTCACCGAAGAAAAATCGCCGCCAATCACGATCAGGCGAAAACAGCCTTCGTCGACTTTATCGAATCTCAAGCACATAATTTTTATGCTGACGAAATTAATCGCCTTGGTTACGTTGGCAAAAGTTCACTGATTCAAATGGCGCTTACTTCGATTAATTGAGAGATATTACAGTTTAAAGTGGACTCATAAAAACGGACAAAACTTTTGATACAACCTAATAATGTTTATTAAATTTTGTTAAACATATTCACCATATACAGATTATTATTATGGTCCAACATATGGAGTTTATGTGGAACAGCAACTTGGTTGAAGACACATCATTATTATATCCTTTTGAAGTTGAAAAATCGAATTCCACTGATGTTTTTAATTCCAATATCTTATAGAAATATCCTTCAGAAAGACTTAGAATCCATCACTATCTTTTGTGAGACGAACAACTTGATGCTGAATGAGGGTAAATGCAAAGTTATGTCTTTTTCACAGAAAAATGTTATTGCTCCAACGGAATATTCAGTAAATGGCACCAAACTGGAAAAACTTGCTCAAATCAAAGATCTAGGAGTAATATTTAATAGTAACTTCAATTTCAGAAATCACATAGAATATATTGTACGTGATGCAAACAGAAAGCTTGCTTTTGTGTTAAGAAACTCCAGGGATTTCAAATGGGAACTAGGAATTCTTCTATTCAATGCCTTTGTCAGATCAAAGCTCGAATACGCTTCAACAATCTGGAATCCGCAAACAGCATTTCATTCAGAGATGATAGAAAAAATACAGAAGAAATTTCTTAGGTACACCTACTTCAAAAAAAAAATAAAGAGTCTCCCTCTATGATCTCCTATAGGACTCAACTAGAACATTTTGACATGCCAACCCTGTCGAATCGTCGAGGCTTGAATGATGTAATATTTATATTCAACATATTTAATCAGATAATGAATGTATCTGAACTCCTCAGTGTGATCAATCTTCATGTTCCTAGTGCTAGCCTAAGAAATCGCAATAGGGTTTTCTATGTAGACACCCGATCAGAGTCTCCACTCAATCGCTGCCTTAGGCAAGTGAATGATCTAGTCGTAAGTCACCAAAGTCTTGATTTTTTTTGCTGTGATGAATTGGAAATAAGACAGTCGTTTTAAAAAAAATGTGCCATATATACCTGTTTTTATTAACGTTTCTCTTGTACGTAATTTTAGGTGTTTATTTACTCTGTGTATTTTAAAAACCATATATTTTATGTACCATGACATTGACTGTATACATGTAATCGGGTGTAAACCTGTTTGGAATGCAGTTTAAATAAAGTCTATCTATCTATCTATATTGAACATTGTAAAGGTATTCGTGAAAAAAAATCCGCTCAAAAACCAAAAAAAAACATATCGAAACAACAAAGTTTGTCAAATATATTTCATTAAAAAGTTGTACAAGTTATAATCTATAAATACTGCTACGTTATTTCAACGTTCTAAAATTTTTAGCTCCGAAGTCTATAACAATATAAAATGCATAAACGCTCTAAACATACTAATTTTAAAAATAAATATTAGTTTTCAACTTTTCATATGATGTACCAACAATATGAATGCTTCAATGGGATCAAATAAAGGATTTCTCTGATCATTTTTGAAGTAAATCTTCTTTACGCACGCTTGACTTGGAGAGTAAGCTTGTGAATTCATGACGAGGGCGTTATGAAAAGTATTATCGAGCATGGGGAACGGAAGTCGAGAGGGAGGTATAAGTTAGTGAAGATAGAAAGAGAGGGAGTTACATTTCGTATATTTCTGTAAGGGGAAGAGAGACAGGGGTGCGAGCAAACAATTACGGTCGAGTAGGCTCTGAAGAATTAGGAGAAAACTATCATATGTTGCCACTAATTTTAGCAGGAGATTTCAATGTTGATTTCGCGTTCAAAGATAAACAACTTTCGGTAAACTTTCTGCAAGATATCAAATAAAGGATTTCTCTGATCATTTTTGAAGTAAATCTTCTTTACGCACGCTTGACTTGGAGAGTAAGCTTGTGAATTCATGACGAGGGCGTTACAAAAAGTGTTATCGGGCATGGGGAACGGAAGTCGAGAGGGAGGTATAAGTTAGTGACGATAGAAAGAGAGGGAGTTACATTTCGTATATTACTGTAAGGGCAAGAGAGACAGGGGTGCCAGCAACCAATTACGATCGAGTAGGCTCTGAAGAATTAGGAGAAAACTATCATATGTTGCCACTAATTTTAGCAGGAGATTTCAATGTTGATTTCGCGTTCGAAGATAAACAACTTTTGGTAAACTTTCTGCAAGATAAATTAGAACTACAAATGAATAACCAAAATAAACCTACAAGACATGGAACAACAATCGATGCAGTTTTCTCTAGATATGTTTCTTATTTTCATTCAAAAACATATGTATCTTATTTCTCATACCATAAACTACTAGAAACAAGTAGTTTTTCCAAAATTTTTGTTAATTCGAATTAAAAAGTTATAGTTTCTGAATTATCAAGAGACAAATGGAGGCACAGGAGCATTCTTTACTTCCTGTCTCATTTAACACCAGCTTCTTGAGTCAGTTACAAATTTTTCCAAAAACAAAATACGGAAAGAATGAACAAGAAATCCCACTTGGAAAAATAACATCTAAATACGAATTTTCATTCCAGTAATAAAAAAGTTTTCATGTTTTTACAACCCAGAAAATCGACCTATAAATAGCCTGTTATGCCATTATGTTTGTTTTGCTTTTCTTCCACAATTTCATAAATCGGTCTTTTTGAAGAGACTTTAGAGAACTGTAGGTGGTTTGAAGAGACAAAAGAATTCTCTCGATAATGTTTCATGTTATTTTAAGGTATTCATAATGGATGTGAATCAGATGTAATTGTCACCTCCCAAAAAACGTATTAGTGTCCGGCGAAACGTTGCCATTTGGTGCATCGCAAGATGCACGCTATCGTAGACAGCGCGCGAACGATAGGGTGGAATCGGTCTTTTCGTTGACTTATCACATATTCGGGCCTCATTGAAAATTGAATCAGAAGCTCGTCGTCAAGACTCAAACTATTTGATTGCAACTTACCTAGACCCAAGATTCAAAAAAAACTACATGAGGGTGCGAGGAGGAGGAGGAGGAGGAGGAGAAGAAACAGAGACAACTGTATCTCATTTTGGGATTGTTTTGATGAGGTAGCGAATGAGAATAATACTAGTCAGGATCAACGTGAAGAAAGAAACGCGGTAGAAACGATTTTTATTTCAAGTCAGTGCGAGTTGATTGCAATTGTGTGACTCTTATTCTTGGTCAGCAACTAATGCTAAACCAAAATTTGACTAAGTTTGCCAAAATCTATCCTTCAGCACCTTGCAGCAAAGTGTATATCAAAAGACTTTTTTCTGAAGCCGATTCTATTTACGAAGACAAGCGAAAGTGTTTGCTACCTCTTAATACAGAGATATTAGTATTCATTCACTATAATTTCCTGAGTTGTAGAATTACTGTGTGATTACTGATTGTATTTCTTGAGGGATACTAACTAAATAAAGCAATTAATTTCATAAAATCACTTTTTTAAAATCCAGTATTCGGCCGGATAGACGCTAGTTATCCGGTAATTGCCAGATACCAGATAATTATCGGATATCTATTTCATCGCTATTAAAGAGTCACTCAAAAAGAATAATTCCAATAGCGCGCTAACTTTTTCGACTGCAATAAAAAAGTGTCTCATTATTGTAGTTTTCCCCAAATATAACATTGTTAATACAAATTTCCCGAAAAAGTTATTCTATATTTTGCAGCCCCTAATATTATACAAATAAATTACTTATGCTGCGTTGCTGTATACTATTTGTTTCTTGTAAAAATTCCTATAGAATTATTTTCAAATGAATTATGACGATAATTGAATAAATGAAATAAGTTATGAAGACTGCGACAAAAAATATATCAGCCAGAAAAATCTAGTCCCACGCCTTGAAGGACAGCCATAGAATAAATGAAAACTGCCTGAAATCACTCTGAAAACCCTTAATATGAAACGGGTGTGGTTGTAAACCTACCTACTTTTTATAGTCATCTGACCTTTCAAGTACATACCTGCATCCTGTTTAAACAGCATTACCGTTCAACATTTTCGATAGACAAGTTAAATGAAAATTCAATTATGAGAAATTCAACAACTTCTGAAAGGTCGAGACAGTGGAACTTTGTGCTACAATGATGGATGTTTCAAAAGGAAATAATTACAACATGAAATAAGAGTGCATGTGAGATGCTATAAGAATTCGAAGCGGAATATAAAGCACAAAATACACCAGTGGACAAAATTTGTGCAGCTGTACAAGAAGGTCGAGATTATCCCAAAATGAACCGAAGCTAGTTTGGAAAAATTTTAAAACAATTGGTTTTTCATTGAAAAACAAGCACTTTTTTCAATCGCCAGAACTGCGAGTCACTTCTGGACGCACCTTTCACCAACCAAGTTGGTGGCTTCAGAAAACGAAGAAAACTGATTCCTAACTCTAAAATTCGTCTCTATTTATATCTGTTTTTCCGTTAACCAGCTGTCGCCCCCTACAAACAACAACTCCCAAAAGTCGAAACTTCTGAGGATTAACGAGGTCTTACCTATTAACGTGCGATTCCTGACACGGTACACTTCCAATACACATCAATCATTTCGGGTAGTAATTTGCAGGAATTTTTCTCGTGCAAGTTCCCGCAAATTTCAACAATGCAAGCTACCATTATTGATTACAGAAGAAACTGCCAATAAGTAGTTGGCACAAAAATAACGTATTACAATATTTGTAAACATTTGTTTCAAAAATATGTAATCGATGACCTTTATATTTCAAAATATAAAAGCTACTTTTCCCTTGATGGTTAAAGAGAAATATAATTTCAGACCAACCTGTTGAATATTTTCAAGCATTTCCCACATGCACGCTTGTGACAGAACATTGGCGGCAATTTATTCGGGAGAAACAAAAGGCAGACCCATAAAATCATGTGAATACAGGGTTAACCTACATGTGACGAGACAAAAATACCCATTCTCAGTAGAAAATAAGTGAAGGAATAAAGAGAATTTGGACGAAGCATCCTGTAAGGGATGAGCTTTTATTACTGCACCACTTTTAAAAATCAACTATAAATATTTTTGAAACCTACGCAAATCAGAATCCGCAAAGTCTGAAAAAGCAAACGTCCCATTCAATGCAGAAACAAATGGTATGGCAATATCGAAGTTGGTTTTCTATATTTTTGATAATACCGCATTCGAATTTTGATACTTTATCGTTAACTTTGTAGACACGCAAAGTGCAAGTGATCTATCTCTCCATCTGTTCGGCGAACAGACAATGAAAAATTACACATTTCCTAACACCAATAAAACATGTCATTCATGAAGCTCTGCCCGACCTTTCTTTTATTTCTCATTCACATCGTTGATACACCTTATGAGTCTTATAGAGATTCATCTATCAACTCCAAGCGTACGCTGTTCACTTATCGACCTACAAACATTGACAAGGCATTTCTCTTGATATGATATGACACGATAAACAATCAATTCCTTTACTAATGAAGCCCTAGACTTCCTTTTGAAATCTACTAGCTACTGGATTTTTTTCTGATGCTCAAATGTATCAATAGTGAAGCCAGTTCGAGATCCTCGCTGTGAATGTTTTTCAACCAGACGCTCCTGTAGCCCGTTCGAAGACAAGTAACCTGAAAGAATATGAAAATTTGATATGTTCATGGATTTTATCCGAAATAGAAATCTCTAATTGGAAGAAAAAGAAGACTCTATTTACATGGACTGTTCAAAAAATGATGTCAATTATACTTTCCTTTTGCTATGTTTTAT